AAATCAACTATTGATAATTTCCAATTGTACGCTAGATATGTGGACGACATCTTTATTATCTGTGATGATGGTCACGATCTTAATCAGTTACTACAAATATTCAACAAATGCCATTCAGCTACAAAGCTCGCTCTTGAAATTGAAAACGAATCTAAAATTCCTTTTCTTGATATTGAACTTACAAGGAGAGCTGATGGAACTTTAAGAAGGTCCATCCATAGGAAACCCACATGGAACGGCCAACTGACAAGCTTCTACAGCTGGGTACCAATCAGTCAAAAAAGAAACCTAATTAGATCCCTTGCGACTCGCGTCCGACGCATCTGCAGCTCTGATAACCTGAAAGTAGAACTACACTTCCTGAAAGAAATCTTCATACAAAACGGTTATCCACCAAGATTCATATACAAAAACATCAAACAGAAAATAGAAAAGGAAGAGATGCCATGCGTGCCAAAAAAGATACTTTATATGAACCTCCACTTCAAAGGTGACCTACTCAGTGATATCCCTAAGAGGAGAATTTCCACTTCTTTAAGAAGAACTTTCTTTGCGGCAACATTGAGAGGAGTGTTCTCCAGTCACCCGCTAATTTTCAGAAGCCCAAAGGACAAGATCTCGCACCTGACCACTTCTATGTGTATATATCAGTTCACCTGTTGCTGTGGAGTCAGGTACATCGGTCGTTCGACGCGCATCCTGTCAAAAAGGGTCAAAGAACACTATCCAGCGTGGCTGCAGAAAGGAAGTAGTGGCCGTATAAGGAGTGCAATAATCGAACATCTCGTCACCACTGGTCATTCCATCTCAACAAACACCTCCTTCAAAGTAATCTACAAATGGAGGAAGAACAACTTTCCAAAGACAATACATTTCCGTCTTCTTTGCATTGCAGAAGCCCTAGCCATTTCATTTAGAAGAACCGGAACTATGCATACAAAAGAAAATTATTCAACCACTTCTACTATCATGGTAACAACTCTGTTGATTTGACTTAACTTTTGCTCATATGCTTATTTTTCTAACTACTTAAAACTCTTGCATAATTCCGTATTTTATTTTGTTTCCATGTTCACCCTGAGCACAACTCTTTCATCAAACCATTCATGTTATTACGTAACTCTTCTTTAACAATCGTTTGTAACGACTCATCACTTTTGTTACTACCCTCTTATATCAACATCCAATTCATCTGAACTTACTAATTGTATTTTCGTTTGGCAAATTTAATGTACACACACATACAAAACAACCATATATATATTTCCGATTGTACAGCTATGAAAATGAATTCGCCGAAAAGAGACTCTTCGCTGAACTACTTACTGGTTTCTGTCTATTAATGTTCGAATGGGGATTTTTCATGAATTATTCAGTTATATCCTTGGGTTTCAAAATGTACTCTTGCACACCTTTTTTAATTGGCTTTCAACCAAATGTTGTCTATATCATAAACGATCGATTTTCACTTCAGGTTAGACAGCAGTGTGTCACGCGATTTATTGTCAGTTAATATTTTACTTGAAGATCTTAGACAAAGAGAAAAAATTATGTAATAAATTCCGCTGAAAATTCTGTGCATTACATAAACACTGTTCAGAATAAAGTCATTATCATTATGATTATTATTGACACGTCCCTCCATAATGACGAATACTGACAAAATCAAAACTACAGATCATTTGGGCTAATTTATTCATCAACAAAAAAACAAATTTAGGTTCAACAGAAAAACAAACTTATGGAATTGTTTTTCTTCGCCTTATTACACTTTAGGGAAATGAAATTTTTTAAAAAGGATGCCACTATATATAAAACCAGTAATATTCAGAGGTTATTGATTTATTGTAAATTTGTAACAGTTAAAAAACGCATAAAAGTAATTATCAATCAGTGAATGATTTTCAAAAAACACATGATTTTTGCCCTCTTTATTCCAATCACGAAGATCAGTGAATATAAACAAGGAAATAATGGGTAGAATGTTTTACAAGTATGCACACACCTGTACATACACACGCTCTCTATGCCAATATAAACACACTTCTATGTATATATGCATTGGTACAACAAACACTTATTTAAGAGAAATAAAATTTATTGAAAAATTTTTATTTCACGGACGTATTTATTATTATTTTTTAGTACTTGGACAATTAAACTTCGCTTGAAGTTTGTGTTCTTGTCAAAATTTAATTTGGTTGGAGGATTTCATCATGAGCTGAAATCGGTTAGAGAACCATTGGAAAACCTGGGAGTACTGGACAGCTGTTTTGTCCTAGTTTGGGACCCTTCAGTAGTACGCACCCATCGGGGTTCGAACCCAGGACCTTTTGGTTACGAGGCGAGCTCGGAAACCATAAAGCCACTGGGACCCGATCCAATGGCCCAAGAGTTCTAACCGATGTCAGATCATGATGAAATCCTCCATCCAATCAAACAAAATCCCTACAAACCAATACTTGAAAATTTAATTTTACTATTGCTGACTTATATCACACTGTATTGGTCAGCTTGTGTTACGACATCGACTCTTTGTGTACATCAATTGGAATATGATTTGTGATCACACTATTATCTGACAGTAGTTAATCCGTTCAATGATATTTCTGACCCAAAACTTATTACTTCAAATGTTTCTTGGCCTGCTGTATACTAATAATTCATTCGCCGACAGATGCTGAGTGAATTTATACTTAGACACTATGATTGAACAGTGGGTAGTAACTAATGTCATGCGTCTAGACTTTCGTTTGGTGCAGACGGAATTCTATGAGTCAAGTTATTTTCAGGAGAGGAAAAAGAATAATGAGCACTAGAATCTGGAATGATGCGATAATCACAATCTTTAAAAACTCACACTAGAATCAATTTAAGTGAGTAAATGTTCACTTCCATATCTAAATATAGCTTGGAGTGAGATATTTGAGACAGAGGACTTGTACCTGTTCAGTATTTGGAATTTCTTTCAGACTTCCCTCTCGTCAAGTAGGTCAATGTTAATACATCATGCAGCAGTATAATTAAGGATGGACAAGACTAACAAAAGCCTCAGCTATAGGGTTCTTATGGGCATTTCAGTTATATTTGAGGGGTATCCTATAAATTAAAGCAGACTTTTAGCTGTTAGTGGTTTGAACCGCCTCCTAGCTGATCCTTCAACCTCACCTACACATCGTGGCTTCATTGTTCTTGAATAAACGTCGCATAACATTCCCACAATAAGTGTAGGTGAAACACTGTAGTTACGATAAATAGAAACCAACTGAAGGATGTCAGAAATGAGAAGAAGACCTCATAGAAACAGTTTTCTTTAAGGCCACATAGAATAGGGCACGAAAACGCATGGCTATTCCTAGATTGCAGCCACACTAACTGACTGGTAGTAATATCATATACTTGATCCCAAGCATGATTTTTTAAATTTTGATTACAGCTTGATTCACACCGTATTTTCAGTACAAGTATGGAATTTTCAGCATGGATATCGGTAGCCCGAATTTTGCAGGCCGACCAAGATATCGGGTGCGTCGGCAGGGGTCGAACCCCGACCATGCGCATGTCGGCGAGAGTCCTAACCATGTGCCACCGACGCACATGATACAACAACACAAGTTGTGTTGTAAGTTGACAATGGCTAGAAACGAAACGGCCTGTGATTTACTCAAAGCTGCAGCAGACAATATGCATTATATGGCCTACTTTAAATTATTCTGCATTGGCACCTACCTTTGTGCTTGCAAATTCAACCACTAGGGTGTACACAATCCATCAGCTGGTACTATGACATTTATCAAATACATCAGAATGAGATATGATCACTGAATTGTAGATAGAAATCATTCTTAATTATTCGCAAAGCATTCATTCAAAACGTAAACAGATATGGTACAAATATTTAATTTCTCCTGACAGTCCTTTGATATGTCACAACTTACTCTTCTGGATTAAGCAAAGAGATTCAGCCATATATACCTGGGAACTGACGATACAAGACGTCAAGATACGTGCCCGCCAAACACTAGCTGAGTTTGAAAATATACATGTTATTCAAAGCTTTTTGATGGGATCTTGTATGTGATTTCATAAGATGCACAAAGCATCGACAACGATATCTTTCTGACCAAGCTTACGAGTTGAGCAATTCGAATCACAATGACAGTTAAGGGGCGTCAACTTAAATTGTACGCACCATATTAGAATAGTCATGTTTACGTACGTTGACATGAAAGAATAATTAACATATCACATGTAGATGCGTACGTGAAGATATCAAATTTGACAAACATAATCGAGAATTTCTTTTTGTAGTTAGCGCTGAAGAAATCCACAGTATTAATTCTAGCTTCCTTTGGACTAAAGGATGATAATCTATTACTTTTCAATAAGACTACACTTTCCATGGAACCTAAGCAAACTGTATGCCATATTAGATAGTTTTCAAGCTATTTAAAAGTCAGAAGTGAGTGTAGTCAGGTAAATGGAAACTGTTTCTATAACAACGTCAAGTATGAGAATAGTAGAGATATCCTTCGCATTGCATCAATTTCATTTGCCTCTTATCTTGTTGCTAGGTGCCGAATTAGTATTAAAAGCACAAACTTGGTAAATTATGGGCACCAAGAGGTGCGCCACACAAAAGTCTCATAGTTTTTATGTGGGCTAGGATACTGCCCTGGTGCTGAGACAGAAGCAGGTGGTTATCTTGAGGGACCATCACCTTCTAAGCCTTCAAGTTAAAGCCTGATCCCCAAGGCAGTGAAACAGAGTCAGGAGCTACTTTCCCATAGTTGCCAGCGTCCAAATTAGGTTCATAAGTCATTCCATCCTTTCGGATTTTGGAATCAATGTACCAAATAGGTTTGGAGCCAGGGATTTTGAGCTTTCCTCCAGTTGTTGTTAGCTACAGACGTTCGCATTCGCCCTTTCACACTTTCGCCATGTGAAGAAAGCAGTGAACCGAATACACTATTTCTACTCAATCTTTTTCTTCTTCTTTACCCACTTAGTTTTTATTTCTAAGCTGTTCACAGAATAAAAACAAAATCTGAACTAATAATAAGAAATTAGGCCTAACTTTCAAGTACAAACGTAATGTGTGTGCATTCCGACTTTGACAAGTTATAAGATGATTGGTGACAATGATGCTGATAACAACAGAAAATAAAAATCAAACACTTTCCTACTATTTTTATGGCTTGTGATTTATTTTTAGAGTAGTAAAAAAAGGGGAAGAAGAAAATAACAAACGGAAAATGAGGCATTACAAAATAGGAAGAAGACAAGTTTGGATGAGATAGAAAATAATACTAAACAAGGAAAGCTGGATGGAAAATTACACGCACGCACACGCACACATACATGCAAATAAAAGCACAATGATCTGAGATAATGAGGGGAAAAACACTGTGATGAAAAGAGATGGTTGTGGCAATAACGGTTATGGATTGAATAGTGACTATAACATGATATTGAAAGCATACAGAATACAGAGGAGAGAAGAAAACTCAAAAGTAGTAGTGGTGGTTAGTGGGATACTCTCACACAGACACTTGTCGTCTATGGAAAGCGGGAAAATGGAGAGTAGATATGCTGCAAACAAAAACTGAACTAATTAATTTTAACATTACCTTATACACACAACACACACAATGCAAATTATTATATATAATACAACCATATGGGTCAACAGAAATACGTACATACATGCAGATATATTGCGTAAGAAAGAAAGGGAACAATGTGTTAACCAAAAATAACAACAATTCTTCTAATTATATGACGATGATAGAACTGTTAGACAAACACGCCAAAAAAAGAAAAATACCACAACATTACTAACTGATAATTTTTTTAATTTGTTCTATTACACAGGCATGATTATGTGTGTGTGGGGGGAGGGAGGGAAATACAAAGGAATGAAGAATAGATAGGGATGGAGAACAACAACACTGACTGAAAGATTAAAATTTCTGTGTATTTGAAAAAACACCCCCAACAATCGCGTTTCTGCGTATTCACGTACGAGGAGCATGCGTGTGTGTGTGTGTGTAACAAATGGAGGCAAAGGTGCCAATGATAATAGTGATTCACTGGATAGTAATATTTAAATTCTTCTCCTCTCCTCCCCCCAAAAACCGGAAAATGAAAGCAAACAAAAGTATATGTTTATAAAAAGAAGTACATGAATAAAATGTATTCGTTACTTTCTTTATTTGAATCAATTCTCTTAGAATCTAAAAAGTACCAGAGCCAACTAAACCGAATTTAAAAAGTGAGTGAATGAATGAGTACATGGATGGATAGGTGTATGTGGTCAATAAGTCAGCCTAGCCCATGGCACAATAATTTCACACATTTCTCATATTTTCAATATTCAAACGTAGACAATACAGGCGCGCACAGACAAACAGATAAACAAATCTGTTCTCGGCCAAATATGCATAGAGAAAAGTGATAGTTGTTTGGATAATGAACGTTTTATTTAAGTAAATAGTATCTACAAAAAGAAAACGTTAAGGGGGAAAAAGCCTAAAAGAAACAATTGGCAATGTATATATGGCAACATTATGAAAACTGGAGAAAAAAATAATTGGCGTAGAAGGATTGAATAACTATCAGAGAAGTTCAGGAGGGTGTGTGGGTGGGAGAGGGAATAGTAACATGCCAAAAAGACATCAATGGAGTTATTGTGAAAATAGTAGAGAGAGAGAGAGAATGGGTCTGAGAGAAAAAAAACACCACCGTCGACAGTAATAATCACGATTATGACGATGATGATGGTGAAACCAACCACAGTATGAATGAAGATCACTATAAAATGAGTATTTTATTCTTTGTTATAATAAAAAGCAAAAATAAAAAATATATCTTGTCTCGTTTGTATCATTATCCAAGAGGAGACGAATAAAAGGGGATACGTTGATGAGATTATCAAAATAGTAATAATGATTTCCATAAAATATACATGCATGCATGCATAATATGTGTACACTATGAAAATTGAAATAAAATGTTAACCAATGCGCAGGTGTCTATAGACACACATGTACAAAATAAGGAATGGCAGCCTATTTTGTTAAGTTTTCTTCAATGGAATATACATCAAATAAACACATTAAGAAATAGAACTCGATAGGAGTTTATCTGCATGTCTATGTGTGTATGTGAGAGAGAGAAGATGGTGGACAAAAGGAAAACACGTTCCCTCCTTTAAAAAAATACACTTTGAAGCAATTGAAGAATGCCAATAAAGTATGGATGAATGTTTCTATCTGAATTTCTGGTAGCTTGTTATGTTGCCACAGTACTTTTGTAACACATCTTTTCATTATCCATTACCGAAGGATTAGGAAGGGAAACATGCACACACACAAACACAAGCAGACAAAGATGATGTGGAGTTATGTAAATGTATATCACCCCAATACTAATAAAAACAATCATATAATCGTAATAATAATAAATAGTAACCATAGTAATAATGTAATAGTAATAATAAAAAGGCACAGATTTAATAAAAGGGAAAACGAAAATGAATGTTTCGACTAGACTGATAATATAATTGTTTCTGTAAGTAATTTTATTTAATTGTTAGAAAAAAATCAGGGTGGAAACAAATGCTACAATAATTCTCTTTCGTAATTTATTTATAATTTTTTTTAAAAAAAGAAGAAAAACAGAAAAATCTTATCCATTTTTTCTCATGGATGAGATGGGGCGCTAAATTATGTGCCTATACCTACACAAAACAATGAAACACTTATATTACACACAAACACAGACACAGTAGTTAGGATGTGTATGTGCCTGTTTAAAGACAGTCATGACATACAAATTCAAACACAGAGAATAAAGACTAATGTGAAAGCGAGCATTGTAAACGGCACAGCACTGGAAATAATAATAATGGCGATAATAACAAGAGACAAGAAGAACAGCAGAACAAAGCTAACCGAAAAAGGGGATTATATTCATCATTGACGGTGTTGCATGTGTGTCACATATACAACACAGAAAAGTTGTAATAGAAGAAAATAAAAATAAGTAGTATATATATATATATATGTACATATATATTGTATATATGTAATCTGAAAATCTGTTGACCTTAATGTTTACTATTATTATTATTATCATTAGCATCATTCATTCCATAGGGACATCATCAAATTGAAAATCGTCTATATCTAATCCAATAGGTGGAGTAGATGAATCCAGTGTCTTCGATGATGGCATTCCAGGATGATTTAACAAAGGATGTTGTTGTTGTTGATGATGATACTGATGTTGTTGCAGTTGTTGTTGATGATGATGATGATAATATTGATGAGTAGGATGTTGATGATGTGTCAATTGAGGCTGTTGTTGTTGTTGTTGCTGTGACTGCTGATGTTGCTGTTGTTGTTGGTTTTGTTGCTGTCGTTGAGGATGATGTTGAGCAGTTTGAACAACAGATGCAATTATTGGATCAAATTGTGTAACTGGTTCTAAAATTGTATTCCCTGTATTACCATGACATAAATCTAAACCTAATGAATGCATTGCATTATAAGCTGAATCTGTTTCACATATTGGTTCAGATTTCAATTGGGGAATAAATGAACTCGATGAATCGAATAAATACATCTGTGAACACTGAAATAAAAAAATATACAACAAAGAAGACAAACAATGAGATGAAAATTAATTAAAAATGATTAAAAAAGCAACTAGCAAATAGATATTATGTAATTGTTTCGTCACAAATTGTATTTATATATGTGTATATATATATAATCATGACCAATGTTTTCCACTGAAACTAATTAGCGAAAGAGTAACACAATCCTCCTAGCCACATAAACATCAAAGTGATACACTGATATATTATAAACTATCATTTCAATCTTCAATATTTATCTAAACAGTCTCATCGTTATATTTCAAACAAGAGGTATAAATGAACAATATCGTTTTTTGATTAGATCCTCTTCCTCAGGCTTTACTCTCATCCACATGGCATTAAAAATAAATATGAAATTTTAGCCAATGAGAGTGACTTGTAGGTGGTCAATGATAAAACTTAAACAACAAATATCGACGAAGCCCAAAGTGTAAAAAGCTGACGTTGATGGCAATAAGAATAATACAGACTGTATAATGTAAATGTAAACATTTTGATAATTAAAGTAGGTTAAGATTTTATAAAATTAGAAGCTTTTATCCAATACTGTAGATGAAGTAAATGGATAAACAAAGTTCAAATCAACATGGTAAATTTATGAACGAGGTGAAAGAATAAAAAAACTTGAGAAGTTTTCATGATAGATTTGTCTATCACATAACGTAACATAGACCAAAGAAAATACAAAGGCAGAAAAAATTCTTTTGAACACACAGACTAATCCTATTCTCATGGGTTTTCACAGCTTCGGCTACGCTTAAAACGCAAGTTCGATTGCCCTTCTTGTAGGGTCCGATGAAAATACCACAAATAACTATAAAAGTCTACTTCCTGTTCACTTGATGACCGTTATCAATCAAATGAGACAAAATTGAGCTTTTCTGCTATATTTATATTGATTTTCTTTGACCACTTTCTAGCCAAGATCAGATGGCCAGAAAAGATCAGCAATAGGGACCTGCGGGAGCAAACAAACCAAGAACCGATTGTGCAACAAATAGGCAGGAAGAAACGGAGATGGATTGGCCATACTCTAAGGAAGCCATCAAGTGACATCATTAGACAAGCCATCCCTCGAGTGAAACCCGAAAGGGAAGTGGCGAGTTGGTCATCCAAGGGTGACTTGGAGGAGGTCATGTGAAAAGGAGATGAAAGCATGTGGGCAGACTTGGAGCCAGGTGAAGACTCCAGCAGAGAACCGAACGCAATGGAGACGCGCGGCTGAAGCCCTATGTTCCTCTAGGAATTACAGGAAATATTAATATATAATAATAATAATAATAGCCAAACTGAAAGTGCTCAGCAATTCGTTTATTGAGTTGTCGAGTTGCTTTCACTACATAACTTTAACCACAGAAGCAGCTAAATTTGTAACTGTACATGGATATGGCACTTGAGCAATGATAAGCAAATCTTGGCGGCATTATAGATTCTCTTCATGGTAATCCACAGTCTAACCACGTCCTCAGTGATTTGAAGACTTATGAACAAATATTCCTTCTCACCTGTGATTGGTTTCACATTTATTACATACTTCGATAATATATCATTGACCCACATATCACAGTCATTGGTTAAAATCTTATATACGTTTATTTAATGCTATGTGTATCAGAGTAAAGTGTGAGGATGATCTAGTTGAAAACAATATTGTTCGCCGATATGCCTCCTTTGAATCTTGAATATCACACTATCACAAAGAATGATCTCCATTTTAAACTCTCTGTCTACTAGGGTTTATATATATTTGATGCTCGCTAGTGACTTGCTACAGGACGGAGTTTCCTGGAGTTCTAGTGAGAAGTCGTGATCAGTGAGGTCCATCCATTCGGGAGTAAGGACGGATTTCCCGCCGATCATATTGGTTGGTGGTCGCGCTAAAATCACGAAGTGGTAGAAGTTAGAATTCATGGGCCATTGAATTGGGTCCCAGCGGCTTAATGGTCTACGAGCTTGCCTTGTAACCGGAAGGTTCTGAGTTCGAACCCCCAGTGGGTGCGTACTGCCGACGATTCCCAAACTAGGCTGACGAAACAGCTGTACAGTACTCCCTGCAGGTTTTCCAATGGTTCTCTAACTGGTATCAGTTCGTGGTTTTACCTGAAACAAATACAATCCCTATTGGATTGACTCAGATAAAGCTGAAAGGTCAACATTTACAATGGAAACAAAACATTACCATCTCTTTTTTTCTACCATCCCATCATACCTTAGACTCTTAACACTTTAGTACTAGTTGTTACAGTATGCTGGTTCACGTTTTTTTAATGAATTATCGTAATATATTAGACAGCCTTGTTGATAAACCATGCTAAGAAAATATAATGATGATATTAGTTATGAACAATAAATTTAGTCTATTTTGTTTTCTTGTGTTAAAAACAAACAAGCAAACAAACATACTTCACTTGATTAAACTGAAGACAAAATACCACTCAGTCGGTAGTTCATGAATCAATATGAAATGAATAATAATAATAATAACAATATGACCGAGTGATTAGTGCTCACGACACGCACAAAAATTATTATTTGACCTCAAAGTGAATAATGTTCAGATTGAAATCTTTACTAAATATTTCCTTTTCATTTATTAATACTATTATATCTATATACAAAAAAAGACTGAAACTCAACATAAACATGAAAATACACACATAACACACCATCAAAGATTAAAAATTAAGCTCACTAAACAACAACAACAATGATCTCTGATCATTGTTCATTATAAAAATGGACAAGGATCAAACATGTTTCTAAAACAATTTTCTTGTCTTAACCACCTGAATATAAAACTTTGCGCAGAAGTGCAGTAGTTCAATCAAGTTGCCACAATCTGTGTAAAATGACAAGAGACAAGAAGAGGGAGAAAAAAGAGATTCAAAAGAACTATAGTAATGTTAGAAATGTTGGGGAGAAAGGATTTTGTTCATTCCTTTATGTTCCCAGTGGAACATACGGCTTCAAGCTAGAGCTTTGAAGTTTTGGTAGCAGTGGTGTTTATTTTTACGGGATGGGGTTGCTAGCCTCATGACCAACATTCCCTCTTTACCAGTCTTATTACTGGCTTAGCGAGGTTTTAGGGGTGCGTCGGCTGGGGATCGAACCCCGGACCACATGAGGTGTGATTGGTGAGCTTCCTACCTCTGTGCCACCACCAACGCACTAAGTAGAAAGGATGGTAACATAGAAAAATATGAAGGTCTAATGTTTATGAGATATCAGAAAGAGTGAACGTATCTTATCCATTTGTGAATGATCTTGATGACTCAACCAAACACACTACACCTTCCTCTACGTGGCTCAAACGAACTGTCAAATACTTCATGGTCCGATGTCAAGTTTTCGTCTGACCACCCCTAGCTCTTTTCCAACACCTAATCCTACATCGGTTTCTTAATCACTTGAAAATAAGTGACTCATTGTTCTAACGTAACAACAAATAAAATGTTACGTCCCATATTAATTCAAATAGGAAAAAAATTTGTGTAGTTTAAGAGTGGGGAAAAACTCCAGCGGATACGATGACCGAATTTATGCAAAATGCTTTTGCTAATTCCCACGACGACAACAACACGCCCAAACACTGATGTGTGTATGCAAAAGCTTTCTGTGTAACGGTATACTTACTGATAAAACAAATTCATCCCTAAGTCACACAAAGATCTATTTGCTATAGGTGCTTACATTATTTTAATTTTGCACAAAGAGAAAATCATTTAAATAGGTATTTTTGTTACAAATTCATAAAATACAGACAGACATCCCATGATGAGTGAATTAGTTTGAAACAAGAGCAGTATAAAAATTGGTACAAATAAAAGGACAAAAGGAGAGAAATGACGTCAAGTGAAACTGTTTGTAAATTTAATCAACAGCTAGCTAGCCAACTAGCTTATGCTTACTTCATCGTTGGAATAATAATGTTATTAAACAGTTCAATGACAGGGAAACATTTGGTATTAAGAAAAAAAAATGAAAATTTATGTTATTAATCTTAATATAGTTTCAAAGCTAATCCTCTGGTAGAGATTTCAAAGTACATTTGATGATACTCAAAAGTGAATTTATTTATCTAATGGTCAATAATAGAGGTGATTGTTACAGAATAATGATTTGTAAAAAATTTATTTCACTTCTTTTAACAAATGAATACCTTTTCTATTTCAGATTGAATTTAATCTTTATTTAAACTATTATTCTACCTTTCCTTTTCCTATGATGACAAACTTTCATTTTCTTAGGAGTAACTTTAACTGAAACCAACTGACCGTACGTACAGCAATGAGGAATATCAGCTTTTCAAAAAAAAATACTAAAACTTGAACAAAGCAAGAACGACAGACAAATGCCTCCAAAGCCTCAGGATGGTCGGGGGGTGGGTGCCTTGCGCTGCGGGTTGGCCACCCCTCCGCACACCTCTTGAAATGCTCCCATATGACCGGGCGTCTTACATAGCCTCTCCTGAGGAAGTCCTACTCACTGCCTTCACGTGGCGGAGGTGTTTTTCACCAAAGTGAGAGGGCGAAAGCGGATGCTCGGCGCTCTTCACCGGGTTGACTGTCCATTGGATGACAGTCTAGGGGAGACGGCTAAACCCTGATTCCAAACCTCCAACGACTGGCGTATGAAGCTCACTGGAGCTCACCGGCAGACGTATGGACAAAGGGCTTGTTGGATGTCCTGGATATCTGGCCCCATTCAAAAAGGCGTATGAACCGAACTCCGGTCACCGGCTGCCAATGGATAGTGGACTCCCTACTCCACTCCTACTGCCTTGTAGGTCACACTTGGTTGTGTAAAGGCTAGAGCTCCACTCTCAAACAAAAGGCCGAGTGGTTCTGGGGACATCACTCGTACCAAATTCCCATGAAACTTCGTAAACTCTCTTCATCAGATCGCTGCGCCTGGGTAGCGATGATTTGAGAAGTTCATGAAGCCGGCTCATCCTTCCGTAGGAGATAGCCAA